GTTCATAATTTATGTTTAAAGTGTAAATGAGATGTTTAATTACTGACGCATGGCAAAATATCAAATTAAATATTAACAGACTTTACTCTGGATTTTTTCCAAAATATTGGTCCACTGGAGCAGACGATGGAGCCGAGCGTCCCTGGAAAATTAAATCCTGTGTAAATATGGATACAATCATCTTATGGTGCGTTGTACTGATATTAAGGATAGTTTGAGTCGTGATAACAAACACAGTGTAAAATATAAATACAGTGATTTAAAGCTTCACTTTGTTCATTAATAAGATTTAACTCTTTGTGTAAAAAAAATAATGTTGTGTTTTTTTCTGAATTAAGTCTGTTAAGACCTTTAAATGTTGTTTTTACTGTCAGCTGATTTCTGCGTTCAGATTCTAAGATACAGATATTAATATTCAGAGTGATATTTAATATGACGGCAGATTGAGTCCCAATGAATCAGTTTGTTTCTTCTCAGAGGAAAAAATCTGACCTTTGAAGAGTGTGCGTGTGTGTGTGTGTGTGTGCGTGTGTGTGTGTGTGTGTGATGAGCTGACAGATATCTGCAGAGTTGATGAGCAGCTTTGAGCTTCTAAACTTCACTAACTAACTTCCTGTTGGGACCCTCCAACAAACACCTCGTGGCCCCGTGTGGGCCCCGAGCCTCAGGGTTTGTTTGTTTCATTTTGACTCACTGAAGCTACAAAGCTACAAAGCTACAAAGCTGAGCTGTGACTGTTGGACTCCACCACACATTTGATTTGTAAAACTTCTCCTCTGATGTTTGAAGGTTTAAAAATAAAAACGAAATCACCAAAACTTGAAAAAGCTCATTTCTAATTTTTGAAGACACATTTTCTTTAAAAATCAGCTGTAAAATAAAAACAAAATATAACCATTTAAATGTGTGTAAACCCCTCAGCCAAGATAAAGATAAAATAAAACAGTCCCTCCCCACGGCTTAGAAAATAATTTGACATTCCTCTCTGTCTCTGCTCCTCCTCCTCCTCCTCCTCCTCCTCCTCCTCCTCCTCATAAATAACAAACATTTCTTCTTTCAGATCAACATCTATAAAAACATTACTTAAGTTCATTTTTTTCTGGAACGTGCATCTGTAATTAGATAAAGCCTCATTTGCATATTTAAATATATAATTTCAGAAAACTTGAAATACAAAGAATTAATTGTCTTCCTGTAAATAATCGACTGAAGAAGAGTCGCAGTGAAATCTGATAAATAAAAATGTGTCTGAACACTGAAATAAATGTTTATCAAGCAGTTTATTATTATCATCATTATAATAATTATTTTTATAATAAACTAATATTTATCATCAGTTTATTTAATGAGATAATAAAACGTCCTGTTTTCAGCCCTGAGACAGAAACAGATTTAAACTCATGATAAAATTCTAAGAAACACCAAAAATCTGAAACACTTTTATCCAAGAGGAAACATGTGTGATATTTTCATTGTTATTTAATTATTAGAAAGTTATATTTTTGTTTTTAAGAGGCAAATATATATACATATATATATAAATAAATGCTGACTGACGAAACTGATTCAATATTCGTGTGAAACTAAAACAGCCATTAAATTAAAACTGACCCTCAATCAGCTGATTCTGACTTCAGTTAATTCAACAAAGAATTTAAAAAAGATTGATTGATAAAATCTGCAGATTAATCAATAATGAAAAAACTGTTTGTTACAATCAGACACGAACAACGAGGGGTTAAAACCAGGAGAAGGATTATTGATTGATGTACTGATTGACAGCGAGCTGCACCAAACGGTTTGTACATTGTGTCAATAAAGTTTGTTTGAACTGAGTCATATTTACAACTAAAGGCAGGTGAGTCACAGTGACGTCACTCTGAGAGTCTCATTCAGGTGTTTATAATTGTTTCACCTTAAATTAACAGAAACATTTAATGAACTGCGGAGTTCAAACTGACTGATGGCAAAATAAAGTCTGAATAAAAACTGCACCAAAGTTTAAATAAATTAATTAAATTCATCAGAAAGATAAAAATTCATTTTAAAAGATAAATGTAAAATAAACTGATTCTAACAGGCCTTAAAATGTGTCTCAGACTCTTCACTGAGCAGCTGCATCATTATCATTATTATTATCATTAATATTATTATTATTATATCACATGAACACATCAGCAGGAACACTACAGGACATATTTCAGGTCGCTCGTGCTGCAGATTGAAAAGCTAAATCTGAGCGTGCGCTGTGAGGTCACCTGCAGGATAAACCGGTGACATCACAGCCTCAGAGGTCAGAGGTCAGAGGTCAGAAGAGAAGAAGTGAACTGAAGCTCAACTTTGTTACAACTTTATTATTCTGGTTTCTAAAGATCCCAAACTGTTGACACGAAGCAGCAGGTGCAAGTGTTTGTGTTTGACGTGAAAAGATGAAGTTTAAATCATTTAATTCAGCTTCAGTGAAAAGTTGTGATGTCGACACACAGTTAATATAATATACAGTTAATAAGAATAAATTATATGATCTTTAATCAGAGTCTTTAATGAGGAAGAGAACCCGGATGTTAAAGGGTTAAAGATGAAGAAAAACTTTCTGCTCTGCAGGAAAATAAAAATATCAGAAATAAACCTTCAGTTTTTTTTTCTTCTGTTTAATTTAATAATAAATATTAAAGTGTGTTGAGCTGATTTTGAATCAGAGCTGAAGCCTGAAAATTAAATTCTCTTCGGTTTTCATCAGATTTTTTCTACTCTTAATTAAAAAGAACAAAATGATTTAAATATTAAATCATTAAAAATATATTATATTATGATATAATTTCAGTTCTTTGATCAATTTGAAATAATTGTTTATTTTGTTTTACTTTATATGTTTAATTATTTATTTAATTCATTAATTTTACGCATATAAACAAATATTGTCTGCGTCTTTTTTTCATTCAATTATTTAATTTGTTTTATTTTAAAATGACTTATTATTTTTAATTATGTCTATATTCTAATATATGTAAGAACATTATTATTTTTATAGTTTTAACTTCCTCACAGTCTGTTATTTGTTTTATTGTTGTATTTTACAGTTGAATCATTTACAGTCACAGAGCCGCTCTCCGCCGGGTCGCCTCCCACATGTTGAGAAACTCCGGATCGATTGTTTCTGATTTATTTCTGATTATTTCTTTTTGTCTGAATCTGAATTTTGAATCTGTAAAAAACAAAAAGACGAAACTTTTCTCTTCTTTGACTTCCGCCGCTCTGACGTTCAAACCTCGAGGCTTCACTTTGTTTCATCACCTGATCATAAATAATAAAACTTATAATAAATCAAACTTCGGACACAAACAGCTGTTTCCGCTCGACGAGGCTCAAAAATCCGTGAAAAGAAAAACAAATATTTGATTTTAATATCAGCTGTTTTTTCTCCGTGACATCATCAGGATGATTTTTGTCTTCATGAATCCGTCAGATGGGTTTCATCATGAATATTAAATTTATTTAAAAGAAAAAGAAAACAGAATCAGGACGCTTTTAATTCCTGTAATTTAATTTTGTTAAAGGCCCGGAAGTTAAAACCCACCTGACTGAGACTCTGTGACGTGTCTCAGGTTCAGTTACAGCTAATAATAATAATAATAATAACAATAATAAGTTAAAACTGATAATTCGATCATTGTAAATTAAGCTTAATATCTCTGACAGTGATTCACGCTGTTTAAACAAACTGACTCTTTATGACTCAAACGAGCTCCTGTAATATTCTGTTAAACATGTGACAGAGAAATAAACTGTTTCATGTTTAATTTGCTTCTTTACAGATAAACTCTGAATTTACTGTCAAGTTTCAAAACTAGAAAAAGAACAAATCCGTTAAATTCAGGACAAACATTAAAACAGGTTTTTAAATCATCAGAAGAAAATCAGTTCCGAGTTTCACGTTTAAAGTTTCGATTCATTTGTTCAAAGTTATTTTATAATTAATATAATAAAATAGTTCAGTGTGCTGAGAGGACACATGTGACGTCAGAGCTGCTGTTTCCATAGTTTTAGATTCAAAACAAACACGATGCGTTTATAATTATTATTATTATTATTATTATTACAATAAAACCACAGACACATCAGCCTGTTCTGTTTCCGGTCACAGGTCACGTGCGCTGCAGTCAAAATCAAACACGAGCCTCCGTAAAATAAAAACTGGAGCACGAGACGATAAAAATAAATCCTTATATAAGATCTGATAATTGTTTAAAATGACTCGTGCTCAGTGGGTGGTGTGTGTGTGTGTGTGTGTGTGTGTGTGTGTGTGTTGTTAGTTATTTCCTCAGTGAGTCACCGGATGAAACTAAATCTTTGAGCAAACAGAAAAACCAGCGAAGAATCACGTTTCAATATGATCACTGATTATTATTGATTATTGATTAAATGTCAGAAACAATCAGCAACACGAAGAGTCTGAGTGTAAAATTAATCAAAATACTAAACGGAAATTTTAACCTCCAGAAAACAAATTAATCTTATTTCCTGTCACACTGAATCTGTGTCGGCAAATTCCTCCAATAACTGACCAATAACACCATCGATTATCGATCAGTATTTACTCTGCAGACTGACTCAAACTGACTCTCACATACTGTTATTAATTACTTCTCTCTGCTGATATGAATATTATACACATCAGTGATTATTAAACATTTAAATTAAATTAGAGAAAACATTTACACATCATCAATAATAACAATAACAATAATAATAATAATAATAACAGCAGTCTGTATGAAGGTAAATAATAATAACAAAAACATTAATGTCCTGTCTGATATACTGTCTCACACACACACACACACACACACACACACACACAGACTCGCTGATTAAATCAAATCAATCTGTAAATATTGATAATATCGGGACAGATCAATATCTGATAGAGGCACCGTGTGTGTGTGTGTGTTTTCATTTAACCTCTGACCTCTGTTGCCTGACAGAATAAAGTGTCCCACCTTGGAAGCGGTGTCCCAGGTAGCGGCTCCGCAGCACCCACGGGTAGAAGCTGAGCGCGTCCCGGTGCTGCGGGCTGAAGAAGCTCTGCGGGGGGATCTGCAGCGGGTGCAGCGGCAGCCCGCCGGGGCTGTGCGCGTGCGTCCCGGGCTCCTGGAGCACCATGTCCGGCCCGGCAGAGTACAAAGTCCTCCCGCTGCTCCCCTGGAAGCACGAGCCGAACACCCCGGCGGCGGCGGCGGCGGCGGCGGCAGCGGCGGAGGGGTGCAGGGACTCCGGGAAGCGGAGCGCCGTGGGCCGGATGGGCTCCTCACCGGAGCCGCCGCCGCTGCTCGCCTCCTTCCCCACCAGAGACTCGATGGTGAAACACTTCTTGTTGTTGCTGTGGTGAAACATCGTGGAGCACCTGCAGCTGAGCGAGGAGGAGGAGGAGGAGGAAGATGATGAAGATGTGACCGTCCAGTTAGTCCAGTTGCTCGGACTGGGAGAGCTCACAGTCTCAGTTCGCTCCAGAGAGCCATGACTCTCCTCAGCTGATCCTGACTGCTGCACCTGGACCTGCTTCCTCTCACCTGTGTCCGGGGCGGTGTCTGCGCGCGCTCTGCGCTCTGCGCCCTGCGCTCCGCGTGCGGCGGATCAAACCCAACAAAGTCCCGTTAAAGTGTCCGGTCAGAGCGGGGCGGGTCCTCCGGTGAGCGGCGGGGCCGCGGGGCTCTCAGCAGTCGGTGTGTCCTCGCGCCTCGTGCCGCCGCGCGCTGCAGTCTGAAGCCGAGCCGGGAGGGTCTGTCAGTCACACGGGCTCGAGCTGCGAGAGATACCTGCCCTGCCCTCCCTGGCAGAGGTGCGCTGAGCATGCGCAGAGGCAACCTCTCAGACAGCCATTTTGTTAGTCAAGTGGATGAAGAGGAGGAGGAGGGATGTTAGCAGTGATGATGACTGACAGTGATGAAGATGAAGAACATGATGAGGTCATCAGGATAATGATGATGATGTCACTGATGAAGGCCTGCATCATCAACAATCATCAGAAACATCCCATAATATTATTATAATATTCATATAATGTCCTGTAATATTATCATTAATATAATTTACACACTGTTGAAAATAAGAATTAATTAATGAACTATTTTTGTACTTTATTTTTATTTTATTTATTTATTTCATGAATTGAACATAAATATTAAATCATGTCTTTATAATCAGAGTTGCAGTGATATACTGTGATGTTATAATTCATGTTCATCATCCCGTGTACATTTGATTATCTACAAAATTAAAAAATAAAATATAACTGGACAAAAGAATCTCAACTTTAATATTTTGAAAAGGAAACTTTTTCACCCTGTTTTACAAAAACTTGCATTTTGTAAAAAACAGCTTCAGCAATGGTTTCAAGACGAGCTGCAGCGTAGATCTCAGATTTATTTTACTTAACACAAACTTATTAACAAAATGTGTTTCAATAAAGTAATAAAACATTTGTGTAACCAACAATAACTCGTCTGTTCTCTTTCCTTTAAGGATCAGTCTGACTGATGAGACACACTGATATTATCTGAGACAGATGTGCTGTGGTCACACTGATATAACCCTCCTGTTTATAACCTCCTGAGAGCGCGCCTCCTCACATGATGACGTCACATATGAGTTAACTGACATCACACTTCATCGTGCTTCACTCAGACATAGCCTCGCGTCACCAGCCTGGTTTCCATTCACTCTGAATTCTGGTTCCGGTCCAGAGAGCGGATTCGGAATTCACCAAATTCACCAAAGTAAAACTTTAAATTCTGGCGCACCATCGTCTCGTCACATCCTCCCTCACCTATTTGACAGGTGTAACATTATCAGGCAGCGATGTTGGTGATGCCATATTGTTGTTGCTGTGGTTGTTGTTGTTGTTGTTGATAGAGCATGCTACATGGCGAGCATCACGCAGTTTTCCTCTCTCTTCCGCCCCCACTGCCCCAAACTTTAGTGAAAAATGCATTAACAAACTACAGGTATTATGTACAAAACTAGGATCAAGTGCCTATTAAATAAAACAGACAACTGAAATAGACAATAACTTGTAATACAGTTAAATACAGTAAAAGAAAAAGTTAACTTAATGGCTTGGGGCTTTTCTTGTAAATTATATTCTTTAAATTAAAAAGTTTCACTGCATTTTTATTAGCTTGGTGCTTTTATTTTGACAGAAAGGCGCATCCATCGAATTCTGGATCCTGTCTCTCTCGCCCTGGTTCCGGTTGTTTACCACAACGTTTACCAAACGGCCCCAGACTACTCACACCTGTTGTCCTCGATCGTGGACACTTTGTGTGCCCTCTAGTGGCAGAAAGACCACAACACACTAATCCATGTAAAAACAAGATGGCTGCCATCTCTGCCGAGTCAGCCTGCAGCCGATCCCGACACAAATGTGGACAAAGCCTGATCAGATGTTACGGCTGAAACTTGTTAAATTATGATTAATAAAGTTTGTAGTTTGATACGGCAACACATTTGAGAATGTGTTGATTAATATCTGTAATGACTGACAGAGTGTGACTCACTGCAGACGTGTCGATTGGCGCTGGAAGAATTCATCAGATGTTTTATTGTTTTATTTCAAAACAAAAAACTTAAATTAAACTTAAAGTAAAAGTTCTCAGTGTGCAGAATAAAGTTTATCTTATTGTTGGGCTGACTGTTGATGGTCATCAGTTTAATGTTGCAGCTGATAAAAGTAGAAATCATTTTAATGATTTTATTTTCTGTCAGGAAGTTTCATCTTTAATCGTATAATTATATAAGTATAAAGTTACATGAAGAAGAAATACTCAGGTAAAGTAGTGACGCCAGACTAAATATGATCATGTCAGCAGGTGTGTGTGTGTGTGTGTGTGCGTGCTGACTGTCAGCTGAGAGCTGGAAACGTCTCGCGGTGATTAACCAGAGAAAAGAGGGAGGTGTCCTCTGACCTTTGACCCCCGGGGTCAACTCTGTTGTTCTGTGTCAATTGACCTGTCGCTCAGCAGACACACACACACACACACACACACACACACACACAGTTAAAGGAAGTCCTTTTATCGTCCTCTGATCTTTTCATAAAAAGATGAAGCGTTTTACTTTCACACAAACGTTTAACAGTTGAATCACTGATGAACAATTAACTGTTCAAATATTCAACATATTATTTCATTCTTCTTTAACTGTCTTTAATCTAAACACACACAGTGACACAGTGACGTGCAGCTGCAGCTCCTCCACACACAGAACAAATATTCAGACGATATAAAGCTCCAGTTTGTAGAATATATAATCAGTGTGTTTCCTTTAATCAGCTGAAAACCAGAATGGTTGTTTCTGTTCCCTCAGAACGATCTGTTTATATCTACACAGGGAGCAGGTCCTCGTCTACACAGATCACCATGTTGCACCGCCATGTTGTGTACAGTAGCCCAGAATGGACAAACCAAACACTGACTCTAGATAGAGACATTCATGTGTTCATATCAGCTACTGTAGTCAGCAGCTCATCTGTGATGAGCCAGACACAGACTTTTAACATGAAACTTTTTAATTCAGTGTTTTTACTGGTTTAAATCAGCTGGTCTGTTTGTTTTAGAGACAAAGAGTCCTCTGTGGATAAATCACCATCATCATCCTCACTGTGACCTCGTCACATGTCCATGTTTGGTCATGGACTTTCCACGTCCACATATGACGTCCAAGGTACCCTGGGTGTGTTGGTTGTTGACGTTCTGGGACGCCGTGTCAACTTCAGCCTGTTACATGCATTGTCTGTTTTCAAAATACACTTCTGTTTTCACAGGAAATGTACAGTTTGATACAGTCTCTTTCAAAATAAAAGCACTACGTCTGTACAACAATGTGAATTGACATTTTTTTTCCTTCAACAACACACACATGTGGTTGGGTTTAGGAATAAAGAACAGGGTTTGGCTTTACAATCTTACAGGAAGTGAACACCGGCCTACGTGAACCTACGTTGTTGTCCCGCTGCGTTTCCCCAACATCACCAGCCACGTATAATGCCGGTGTGAAAGGACGGCTTTTTTAACAACTTCAGAGTAATAACAATAATAGTAGTGATAGTAAATAGATTAAAGTAAAATAGATAAATAAAAACAATGTTCAACAATAATAATAAAATGAGGATAACTATAAACAGATTAAATTTAAAAAAGGAAAAAGAAGTGAGAAAATAAATTATTTGTTTATCTTGAGAGAAAATGAGAAAGTGGAGAAGAGGAAGTTAAGTGTCACACATCGCTCAACAAATGTGTGAAACACTGACATACTGTGTTTTATTACAGCGTGCTTCATGTCTTTAATGTTTCAGTTCAGGCGCTACAATCACTTTGTTATTTCATTACATGTTTATATATCTAAAAAGTCAACAATAACTTTAAATATTCCGGCGTTAAACTCGATCTATCATCTGGCTGTCAACAGGTGTGACGCAGGTTACAGGCTCGACTCTGATTGGCTCTTTGTTGTGTGAATAAAACATTAAGGTGTTTCAAAGTTTTACAAAAACAGATTTAACGTCTGTAACTTTGTGACAGAGGAAGAGAATCAGGTTTCACGTTCAGGTCGTGTTCCTGTGTCGTCTGATCAGACAACATTTGGACCCTCGCAGCCCGGCCTCGGTGCTTCCTGTGCAGCTTTGGGACCTGGGGGACAAATGCCAGCTCATTCAGGAGCCTCTAATTGTGGCCCGGGACGCTGCACAAAGGCCCCCTGCCTCCACCCTGAATGGGCTGCCCTGCGGAGGCCCGTGTGAACCGCCGAGCCCCTTCTTCCTGCCCGTCCCGCCGCGCCCCCCCTCCGCCCCCTCCACATGTTAATTAATAGGCCTTACTGGCAGATTTGGATCCCGCTCAGCTTTGATTGAAGGCGGCCATTAGCATCTATTAATTTAGCCTGTGGCGTTTTATCGCAGCTCTGAAAGAGGGAATTAAGTGGTGTGAGTTATTGTGCGTACTCGGGGTGTGAGGCTGAGTTAAAATGTGATTATTGTCCCCGCAGCCTGGAGCCAGCTAACTGCTGCTAAGCCCTCTTGAAAGTGAAGGGGCGACTCCTCTCATTAGAGCCAACAAGGGGACGATATTAACAGGAAATAGCTGCAAATTTCTTTTTTCCACTTCTAATCTCTTCTCTTTATGTTCCACGTGAAAAGGGCACTTAAAAATGTAAAGGGGGGAAAGTGGAGCACGAGCGACGTCGTGGCGAAACGGTCACAGTGATGATACAGTAGTCCAGCCGATGGACGTCACCTCGGAGCGTTCTCCTGGGTAAAATAAAAGATGGAGATTTAATTGGGGCGAGGAGGAGCAGCTGCAGGAGGGTCGGACGCGGCTAAGGTTCGGCAGGTTTCAGGTTTCTGCAGAAACAGCACGAACAAAGAGTTTCAAGATTTCAAACTGTGTGACGGATAAACAGCACGTAGAGCTTTCAGTTTATGTCTCTTTAAATCTTCTTAAACTCATTCACTACTTCCTGTAACCTACAGTATCTGTGAGGAGTCAAGTGTGTGACGTGTTTGTCATAATCACCACACGTCCTCACTGTGACCTCGTCACATGTCCACGTTTGGTCATGGACTTTCCACGTCCACATATGACGTCCAAGGTACCCTGGGTGTGTTGGTTGTTGACGTTCTGGGACGCCGTGTCAACTTCAGTCTGTTACATGCATTGTCTGTTTTCAAAATACACTTCTGTTTTCACAGGAAATGTACAGTTTGCATACAGTCTCTTTCAAAATAAAAGCACTACGTCAGTACAACACCACCAACTGATGTTTTTCCTTCAACAACACACACACGTGGTTGGGTTTTGGAATAAAGAACAGGGTTTGGCTTTACAGTCTTACAGGAAGTGAACACCGGCCCCCTGGGTGAAAGTCGGTGGTTGTTTGACCCCTCCCACTCGCCCTACTCGGATTTTCATTGCTTTTGCTTTCATTCATGTCCCACTGCATTTCCCTCTGATGCCACCAAGCACTGACAGGCCGTGTATCATGCCGACGTTAAAGGACGGCTTTTTTTTTCACTGCCCAGGCGCCACTATTTAATGACCTGAGACAGGTTGACCCGATCATCATAATAAATATTGGCACTGATTGTTTCTTTATGTGTCAGCAGCGCTGCGGTGAACGTGTGGTTATGTTCAGGCACAATTTTGCCAGTTTGCATGTCACATATGTCGTAGCCCAACAATATCACGTAATATGATGCTGTGACTTCTCCTCTTTTTAACCTCCACTGAGCATGCTCAGTAGTGTTTCTCCTGCTGGCTCCACCTGTGAGCTCCTGCTCAGCATCACTGCTTTTTAGATTTCTTTTCTCGACTTGAGGAAACTTTTACAAATATAAAAACCTTTATGGGAAAAAAATAGAATAGAAAGAGTGATAACTGATCTTGTTTGCAGGTGGAGGACTCAACAGTTTAACACACGTCTCTTTTATAATGGCGGTCTGTGGAGAAAACGGCTCGGCAGCTCAGAGGAGGGCCATAAAACTATAAATGGTTGTATTTGGTATTTATTTATTTCACAGGAGATTATTAAAGAAAACAATCCTTTATGTTTTGTTATTGCCCCAAAATGACTCTATTGATCACAGACACAAACTGTAAACAGGAAGTATTGATGGATTTTCAAATTTCCAACGGTCCTTGGTCAGAGGTCAGAGGTCAGAGGTCAGACACAAACACACTTCAAATAGTGACATTTCATCAAAATCACGTTATTCTATGTCTCTTCATATTCTGCTAGAAATAAACAGTTCACACAACAAGAGTGAAAAACTGAGAGCTTTTGTAACTCCAGGATTTCATCTTCAACTTTTAAGTTTCAAACATCAAAGTTTAAGTTTTAAAAATCTAATAACTCATTTATGGTGGAGGGTTAGTGATAACATAACTGTGACTCATTCAAAGAAAGTCAGAGATGTGTTTGACAGAGTTGTTACCGAACAAACAGCTGAGATAACTGAGACGAAACGAGATGAAACGAAATATTAGGTGATGTCACGCTCAACAGAAAATATCACAGCCCAAAAGTTAGTTTGTCTCAGAGCCGCGACGCTAATGAATGAACAGGTAAAATAATATGAAAGCACACACCTGTGCTGATTACAGCTACAGGAGGTGACCTACAGAAAGTGTGAAAGCAGCCTGAGCAGGTGATAAACTCCAGAGGTTAAAGACACACTCTGGTCACTAAGGGTCACGTATTACCCTCCCGTCACTCAGAGAGACTCAAGGTAAAATATCTGTAGCTTCAGGGAGGGTCAGACCGCAGCCACCCTCCTCTGATAGATACAGAACAGTCCCTAAGTATACTGTGACTCTGATACTTTTAGTTGAGTGTAATTTTGAATGCAGGACTTCAGAGTATTTGCACCCTGTCGTACTGCTACTGTTACTGAAGTAAAAGACCTGAGTACTTCCTCCTCCCTCACAGAGGTGTTAGCGGCCGACGCTCTCAGTGTGACATCACGTGGCCTCACAGGTCGATAAACAGAGAGCGTTGTGACCCGGAGTGTTAATGTGGAGGCCCAACAGCTCGGAGCTGCAGTCAGAGACGAGCTGAGCGGATGTGAAAGGATCAGAGTGTCAGTGAGCGTCTGACAGGCTGAGACAAAACCTCAGACCTCTGTCAGTGTGTGTGTGTGTGTGTGTGTGTGTGTGTGTGTGTGTGTGAGTGTGTTAGCCATGGGTCACAGCCTCTGCTGTCATGTCACAGTGTTCCCATGGCACTTCACAGCCACCTGGAAACACCTGAAGCACAGAGCAGAGTGATGAACGCATGAATGAGCAGCAGTGATAGAAACAGAGGGATGAAAGAGACGAAGGAGCGTCAGTCAGAGGACGAGTGACATCACAGATGTTTAGGTTGTGTTCAGGAGCTTCTACCTGCAGGACACACACATCCTACATGACGACCTCATCCTAACACATTTATTTATCATTACTGCAGTATTCAAATACACAAACTGACAGCTGCGTTTAACTGAGATCATATTTTATGACTTTGTGTGACACATAAATTAATTAACTGACTGACTGATGTAAAGTACTTAAATGACTCTAATCAGCTGTTCCTCTCCTCAGTGTGATACTGATTACTGCTGAACTGCAGCGCCCCCTGCAGGCAAATTACAGATTTAAATTTCTCTCACAGTGGACGTGTGATAAAACTAATAATTATTGTTGTTGTCTTTTTAAATATATAAACATGCAGTGAAATGATGATAATAATAATAATAATAATAATAATAATAATAATAATAGTGTGACTTTAACACCTGAACAGAAACATGACGCTGCAGTTTGTGAATGTTTCACACATTTGTTTGACACAAAAACCCTCTTTCCTCTTCTTGTTCTCCCGCTGTCTCATTTCTCTCAAGATAAACAAAGAATTAATAATTTTATCTTCTTTAAATTTAATCTATTTATACATCACATGTCATCACCTTCAGTTCCTGATCACATCAAGCTGAAGAAAAAGTAAAAATCAGAGTTCACTGACCTGAGACCAGTGTCAGGAGGTCCCAAGTCAAACCTCAGAGACAGCTGATGGCAGAGATGTGTCCATCAGAGGAACCCGCAGGATGTCCTGTGCTGTAAAGGTCACAGGTTCAATCCAGCTACACTGTCCTGTGCTGCCCTCTGCAGGCCACGCTGGTGTATCACACTGACTGACTGCAGCTGCTGCTTCATACACAGAAATCAATATCTTCATTTGACTGTTGAAAATTCAGCCAAACTCTAAACACAAAGAGAGAGAACACTGTCTGAGCTGATAAAAGGTCAGATCACATTTTTCTGCTCAGAAATAAATTCTGAATTAGAATGTGATGATTTTAAGTTTTCAGGCCTCCTTAAGTTCAGTCTGATCGAATCACAGTCCTGATCAATCACATCAGATGAACTCGTTACAGACGATGAATGTGTTCAGATGTTTGTCAGTTTTAATTTAAAATGAGCAAAATAATCTGATTTATATTCAGTAATCTGAAATCAGATACACACACTGATGATGATGATGAATACACAATCAGCAGGATGTTTTAAGTCTCTTTGTGATCTTCTCCAGACTCATGCTCTTCATCTTTCTCATCTCACCTCCTCTTCACCAGCAGTGGACTGAATACATTTACTACATTTAACTATACTTAGGTACAACACAGTATTTTCATTCACTGACTCTTTATACGTCCAGTATATGACACATTTTATTATTCATTCATTTTTTTGCTCCAACACAGTTTCACTTACTACGTTTTTAGAACATGATGCATTGTTGGAGATTAAATGACCCAACAGCATAAAGTCTAGTTGTAATAAGCAACAACAATAAGATGCTGCCGACATGTTTGTTTGTCTGCAACAATAATTCACTTTTATGAGACATCATGTCGTCGTACTCTAAAAAGGCCACTCTCTATGATGAGTACTTTTACTCACAGTGGAGTATTTTTACACTGTGGTACTTTAAAGGGATAGTGCACCCAGAAATGTAAATTCAGCCATTATCTACTCACCCATATGCCGAGGGAGGCTCAGGTGAAGTTTTAGAGTCCTCACATCACTTGCAGAGATCCAAGGGGAGAGGAGGTAGCAACACAACTCCACCTAATCCTGCCTCTCTGTGCACCGAGCTCACGTGAACACACATGAAGGCGGTGCCCATGTCTCACGGTCTCGTGCAAGTGTGCACACGTGAGCGCGGTGCCCAGAGAGGCAGTCAGAGCTACAGGCTTCAATGAGGCTAAAAACAGAGTTCAAATGAGGTTTTTCTAAACAACTTTTTATGTCGGGGCTTCAGGACACTTGGATCACTACGGACGAGCAGTATGGAGATATTTTGTGGTTTCAATGATGTGTTTTTGGACGTTTGAATCTGGGGCGCCGTCAGCCTCCATTAGGTGGAGTTGTGTTGCTACCTCCTCTCCCCTTGGATCTCTGCAAGTGATGTGAGGACTCTAAAACTTCACCTGAGCCTCCCTCGGCATATGGGTGAGTAGATAATGGCTGAATTTTCATTTTTGGGTGCACTATCCCTTTAAGTTCAGTAAAAGATTTGATTAATTTTCTCATGTTGGAGTTTTGGAGACAAAAAGCAGAATACACAGCTGTTTTTAGTGTCACAGCATCTTTTAAACACAGCAGCAACTCAAAGTTTATGGCAAAGAAATGTATTGAAATATTTGAGAACACAATAAAGACAAAATATCAATGAAACTAAAATAGTCAGAATATTAACTGCAGACCTGCTTGATGAAAAAATAACATTATTAATTGTTTTATGCAAATGTTTTGGCAAATAGTTCGTGTTGTCGGCCAACATGGTCCATTTTTTTTGTACCCATTTTCAATCAGGTTAGTCCCCAAAAGGGGAAACGCCTGCAGAGAAAAAGAATGACATGAGACACTGGTTCTGGTTATTATTTTTGGTGAACAGTTTTGTTGTCAATACAGACAAATTCACACTTATCAGTTTTAACTGAAGCTTTTTATTAAGCCAAAAACAAAAAGGAAAACAAACTGCTGTTTAAATCCAACCAAGAAAAGATGAAATACATTTTTACAGGTAAGAAGCTGAAAAAATTTAAAACTATACAACATGAAAACAAAAATCTCTCTTTTCCAAACTCCTGGTAAAATACTGGTCAAAGTGCTAGTGCATAAGGAGAAAGAGTCCGAACACTGACAAATGTTTTTTTTTTTTTGGCAACACAAACGTCTCGTCCCAGAAAATCCATCGTTAACAAAGAGAAAAAAAAAAACTGATAACATGGTAATATTTTTCACATCTTTAAAAAGTAACACAAATATCTGACAGTCATCAAGCTTTGATTTATACAGTGATTATTGATCTGTGATTGTTATCGAGTAGCTCTTGATGTCAAACTAGTAAACAGCTGACTGAGGTCAGTGACTCGGGTCACACAGCATTTAACACAAAAATGTTTCTGACAAAAATGACGTCCTGTAATTTACTGTGATTAATAGACTCAAACATGGAGGTGAAAAAACTCCACAGAAATTTCAGCGTGAAATTTGTGTTGTTGTTCAGCTGCTAACCGTTTGGATTGTGCTGAAGTTGTCTGTTTAAACTGATTATCTGATTAGGTACCAAGTTAGCTAGCTTCGTACCTAACTAGCTATTTATGACCCATCTGACTTTGTGAGCTACTTTGTCTTGCTAGCACCATGCTGATACCGGCCTGCTAGCATGTAATTTATTAGCTAACTAGCCACAGTAGTCTGCCAACTAGCCCCCCAAGAGTTAGCATGTCACCAAACCCTTATCACCACTTTGGCAACACGTGGATGAGTTTCGCTCAGTCACTTTCTGGTGGGACCAAACATCTACAGTCACGTTAGCAGCTCACTGACACTTTAATGCTGATTAAATAACTGAAAACCAAATTTTTGTCTGGGTGCACATTTTTAAAGTAACTGTAAATGTAAGATTTTTACCACAAGATCAGCTAAACATCAAACTCAACTTGAGCTGTGATTGAGCCCATATTTGTACTGAATGCTAACGTGCTAATGGTAGAATGTTGTCAAGCTATTCGCTAACTAATGGATGTTAGCATGATGGTGTTTAGCATGTGACATTTTGCCTTGTTAACATGCTTCCACTCTGGATAGTAACATCATGTTTTATTTAGCAAGTTACAATTCTAACGTTAGCATGGCATGTTAGCATTAATCTCAAAGAACAGAAGAGCTCACAGGGATTCTGTCTTTTGCTCTGGAGGTGCTGCTGCCTTTAAATGGGATCGTGGGCACCGTATAATCACAAGAGTCCATACAGCCGTCGCTAATGACTTAATAAACTCAGATAGTTCAATGTGGGCTGAGAACTAGTGAAGCTAAACACTGGACTCAACTTTCACCGCACCAAACAGAATGCTAACGTGTATGGAAGCAAATAACAGACATTAATACTGAATGCCACTGACTTGATAGCGTTAACATATTTTACTTTAAAAAATCGTGTATCTCAATTTGTTTGTTCTAAATTCACGTCTTTGACATTAAGTATAAAATTTCTTGATTTCTTCTTTTGTCTCTCATTTGCTTTTATTGACTTGCTGGCAAAATGTTACTAACTAATACATGTTTACATTGTGGTATTTAGCCTTTAGTGTTTTGCCATGTTATCATGCTAATAGTTAGCATGTAACATGCTTCCTCTGTGGATGGTAACATCGTATTTTAGCCAGTTAGAATTCACTCCAAGAAAAACAAGGCTCAGTGTGGTTTGTTTTTTCAGCTCCTGAATATTGTACATTTTACATCTGACACAGGAAGTGAAGTGGTGTCTTCCCCAACAGCAGAAATAAACAGATGGCTCTAAATTAAAATGTGTCAGCTGACTCCAGCAACCAATTACATCAATTTATGACAAAGTTGTGACATGAATGAGAAACCTAAAGCACGGCACGCAAACAGGAAGTGGGTATAATGAGCAAAGTGACTACAATAAAAAGACAAAACATTTGGCATCATGTCTGAACAGTACTAGAAAAAAGAAAAATCACAGTTGGGGAGTGTAACAGGTCGGCTGTGTTTAGTTTATCGATAGGTTCTTCAATCTACAGGATTTAAATACCTGAAGGACGTCCAGGCGTGTAGATTAAGTTTATTATGGATATTTTGAGTAACAGTAACCTTTAAAAGGTTCTAGTTTGCAATCAAAAGGAACCCTGAGAGGATCCTCAATGAATCACTAACAGTTATGTTTTATTGTGACGAACTCTAAGATGCTTATTGACACCTTACAGTCCTCACAACAACCTCCAGGAGAGCTGTAATACTTTTAGGGGATCTAGAGGACGCTTGAAGCTTAAAGCTTTCTGGCACCTTTGACTTGAAATACTTTCTGGAAGAACCAATAGAACCTCAAGTACCTGAAGTCTACGTTTAAGTGGATGAAAAATGAACTCAAGCACTTCATAGAGCTTCACTGCTGACTGCGACTTCAGGACAGTCTGTGTGAAAACTGGATCGGTGGCACTTCATCTCAGATCCTCTGTGGAGCTGCTCAGTGTCCGACAGCACAAGATTTCATCAGGTGTCAATCGACTGATGTGATTTTGAGGATCCTCGCTGGGAAAAGAGAGACGTCTGGCTTCCTCCATGGAGTGAATACAGCAGAAGTAGTGGAGTAGGTGTGGAGTGACGACTGGTCCAGTTTGAACCCTCAGAGTTTTGAGGTATCAGATGAACGCTGGCTTTAGAACCAGAACATCAGAAGATCCAGCTTTATGTCGACATGATCAGTCATCGTGTGAGTCTCAGGCACTTTATCGGACAGGTAGATCATAGAACTGTAAGGTACTGACGTCCGATCACACCAGCATTTTTATAACAGCTGAATTATTGACGTGATTCATGGATTTGTTCACAGAGAAGACTGTAAGGTCAGGTTTCATGTAGAGCTTAACTTGGAAGTTGCTCTGCTGAACAATCCCTGACGATGTTCATGGGAACAGAGAGACAGGAAGTCCAATGAAAACTATTTTAAAAAAACACACGAGGAAGAACTAAAACTGTATTTACTGTGTTGCACCATCCACTGTTATATAAACCCCGAGACACACATGGTCTGCAGTCGGTCATGAGCTAACAGTCGATGGTGTAAATACGTCTCTCAAATAAACTTGATAACTTATTTTCTAGTTTTCTTCCAAGCTAAAAAGCTAACTGGCAGGTCAGCTCCAGCTTGGTAGGCTAGTTCTGTCACGTGTTAACATAATGATTAACAGGTGTAGCTTCAGGAAACAGGAGCAGGAAAGTATTCAGTCTTGCTGTTTTTACGTTACCAGCTAGCTAAGATTCTACCTGTTAGCTTGCCAAGTAGCCCCACAGGTAGCCCCACAGGTAGCCACTACGTTGGCAAAGATTTGCTATGTGACTTTCAGGTGTGACCAAGCTCTTAGGCTGCTGCCACACTCATCTGTCCATCTTTGTTTTATAACCGACAGAACAAATATGTTTTAACCCTCCATTATCTGTCAGCTGACGGAGGCTGCTCATTTCAAAAGAGTTAAAAACAAACGGATGATTGTGGCGACAGAGTTACCCGGGATGGTCTGAGGTCCATACAGTGTGTTCACTCAGGGTGCAGCCCTCAGTCTGTGGAGCTGGTGCGATGCTACGTCAGGGACTGACGTGGTTCATTTGAGACCCTGAACCTGCTCGGCTGCGTGCTAACATCCGAACATTAACCAGTGGAGTCGCAGTTAAAATGAAATATTCAGTCTTGTGGTGTTCTGGATCAAAGTCGACAGGATCCATTTTTAAACCTTGAGACTTGACCTCAGAGCTGCAGAGTTGTGTTGATGCTTCCTGTTGCTCTCTGTAACAGAGCGGTCGACCAACAGCTGCGGCCCAGTTTGAGTTTAACGCTCAGTTACAGAGCGGTAAATCTGACCGACTGTGTTTTACCTGGTGATTAATTACAAGTCTGGTGTCTATCTACACTGAGTGAGATCATCTCGGTGTGATCTCCTGCATCATGGCGGGCAGGTGGATGGTCGGACACGAGTCTCTGTGTCTCAGTTTGAACATCAGCTGCTCTTTTTCCTGAGAAAGCTTCTGGTTTACGACCGCCTGCCTCTCCAGCGCCATCTTCAGGTCCTGCTGCTCCTTTGATAACTCCCTGAGACGAAGAGAGAAGAGACAGGATTCAAAACTACTGACGGACAAAATGAATGTGATTGAATTCATGTTTAAAGTTCGAACCCAGGCAGGAAAACTTCTTCAGGATGTTTTGGAGGAAAGACTCTACATGTCAGTGACATTAATCAGCACAAAGGCTCCACGTGTTCACTCAGAAAACAACCTTCAGTTTGCAGCCCGCAGAGGTTCCCTTTCAAGATTAGAGTCACCAATTCAGTATCTGACCAAATGTCTCTCCTTCTGTTCCTGAGATATGACGTTAAAACATGATGATGTCACAGTCAAGCTGACCTTTGACCTTTTGACCTTCATTATTTTATCCTGTTAGACATTTGTGTCAATTTGGTCAGAATTAGTGAATGAATTCTTCAGTTATGGACAGAAACATGTTTTGTGAGGTCACGCTGACCTTTGATCAGCAAATTCTAATCAGTCGTCCAAGTGGACGTTTGTGCCAAATTTGAAGGAACTCTCTAATGGTGTTCTTGAGATATCGAGTCACAAGAATGACACAGAGGGCGTCACACTGACCTTGAACTCTGACCACCAAAAACAAGTCAGTTCATCTTTGAGTCCAAATGGACATTTGTGCCAAATTTGAAAAAGTTCCCTGGAGATTTCTTGATATCATGTTCACAAGGATGGGACAGACAAACGTACAACCCAAAAACATATTGCCTCTGGCCGTGGCTGTCGTCGGCACAGAGGCAAAACAATAACTTGATTAAAGCCTGTAACAGGTTCATGAAACATTTTCAGCCCTCAGTTTCTTCCTGCTAACTACACAACAAAGCCAAACTCAAATTAAACGGCTCCGCCCACCAGGTAAGTTCCTGGTTACATCCATGTCTGTCCAACTCATGTTATACATGTATTGAAGACTTTGAAGAAACTTTATAAAAACTATGAAGCGTATTTTTTTGGGGAGACATGGATGCTTCACACACATTCATACATCTATATAATCACATCTATAAAAGAGTCACCAACTCAGTACTGAGAGTAAAATTATGTTAATAGACAAAAATCCTTCATTTGAAATGTTTTTTTTTTTTTTTCTTTAAATATTCTTCCCATAATTTTAGTTTGAAAATGATCCTGAGAACAAATCTGTGAATGATATTGGGAGCAGCTGTAAAGTGTCCAGCAGGTGGCGCCACCTTCCTGATTAAAGTGAAGAAGAGGAGACACGTACTGAATCAGAGTCTGACAGTTGTCTGTGCGAACCCTCAGATCCTCGTTCTGCTGCAGGATGTGGACGATCTGGTCCTCCAGAGACAGATTCTTCTCCACCTGAGGACCAAAAAGAAGAAGAAGAAGAACAGGAAGAAGAAGAAGAAGAAGAAGAAGGAGAAGGAGAAGAAGACATGAGAAACAAAGTGAAGATAAAAATCTACTGTCAGACACACATGTAAGAGACATGTAGAGACACGTGTGTTTTCCCACCAGAGCGTCCATCTGCTGCAGCTTCCTGTTCTGCTCCTGCACGCGCTCACTCTTCATCTCAATCACAAACAGCAGAGACTCCTGCTCAGACTCCCAGAATGCACCTGGGCTGCCATGGGCCTGGAGGGTGGGAGGCGACAGAGAACTGAACACACTCATAACGTCTGGAGGAATAACTGCTCTGACTACAGAATGTGAATGCTGCCTGTTGAAAAGCTGACGCTGCATTAAACACGGAATTATATCATTAATGTCTGAACGCTGTGGAGTATTTTAATATATCTGGTGTCAGTTAACATTAAGTTAACTGCGTTAGTTGGTGGAATTTCTCTCATGTAGGGAATCCTCTGTGCTAAAAAGATACCTGAACAGTTTTAAAGTCATTCAGTCCTTCACTACACTCCCTCTGGCAGAGCACAGATTCAATCAGACTCTTTTATCAAACAACCTCTAATAACATAACTTTATTTTCATATTAAAATATTTTTTATCATTAAAAATGTATGTAAAATGTAAAAGATATTGCTGTGACAGTATCAACAAACGTCTCCTTCAAACAGCTGATTTATTCACGTTTCTCACCAAAACCTACATTTTACAAGATGACACTGAACACATCATGAGGACATTGTAATTGACCTTCACGCAATACTTGTTTTTACTGAAGAGAGCTTGAACGCATCACAATGCAACTCACTGGGTGTTGCAAACACCGGCTGCTAACAGCTAAGAGCTAACATTAACTTACAGCTAACAGCTAAGGTTAACTAGCTGCTAACAGCTACGAGCTAACATTAACTTACAGCTAACAGCTAAGGTTAACTAGCTCTCCTTCTGCTGATGACATCACAGATTTGTTGTTCATATGAAACATTTTCAGGGAAACAATATTGTGTGTTTTCTGATGTGTCGATCGTGAGTTACTGCGTCCTTTTGTCCCGACAGCATCTGTTTGTCCCAAACATGTTTTCAATTGTCCCCGGGCCGACAGGACGCCGTTAGCCTGGAGCTGCTTTTTAGCCTGAGAATAATAGAACATTGGTGATGTCACAGATGGCAGTGAACACCTGAGTGTGAACCCACCTTAATATTTCTCTGCAGGTCTTTCTTAAATGTAGACTCGTGAACTCTCCTCTTCAGCTCGTTGTAAACCTGCAGCTCTGCTGACAGCTGCTCCACCTCAGCCTTCAGTCACATCACAGATTAAACATTAATGTTACTGTAGAGTCATTAAACACACACTTCCACATCTGCAGGTGTGAAATGACATTTCATCTAATATTTATATCTTTTTACCTTGAGGACATTTTCAGACGCCTGAAACTTTTCTGTCAGTTCAGTTTTCTCTTGTTTGTGTTTCTTCTGCAGCTCTGCAAAAAAAACAACAACAACAACAACAAAAAAATAACAGGACAAATGTTGGTTTATTTACGTAGAATGAAAATAGTAAAAAAAAAAAAAAGAAACCTTCCCCATTTTTCTAAGGACCCCTCAAACTCCCTCAGTGACTCCTGGTTAATAAGCACAAATTTAAACCTTGAAAATAAAACTTTTTGACATAAAAAGCAAAACTCTAACAGATGTCATAACAGGTTGTATTTAATCACAAAAGTACGTCATTATATTTCTTATCGTCTTGCTGTGTCTGTGGTTCGTTACCTTCCACGCTCCTCTCATGTTCCTCAGTCAGAGTTTGACTCCTCTGTTCATGCAGCACGTTCAGATCAGCCGTCGTCTCTGTTTTCACCTGAAAGATCCCATCAGACAGGAGAGCACTTTCAGCTGAGACTAAAGACAAACTCACTGACCCTCAGAGGTGAAATGATGATGACACTCATGACGTCTGTGGAAACACTGGACGCCCACTGTCACTGTGACCACATCAGTCTGAATGCAGAGTGTAAACAGAGTTTATCATGAACAGTAACCAGAGACGTTCACAGCTGCTGCCTCAACCCGACCGGTCGGCAGAATCACGTCTATAAATAACCTCTGACTGAGTTTCTCATCACTGAGCAGAGTTTACTCCCTCTGCCAGATAAGTCATGTGACTGTGACATCGTGTTCATTCATGTGCTGCTCTCTGTGACAGACTCTACTGGACTCAGTCTGTCCACCAAACAGAAACCTGCAGTTCCTTTAATGTCCACTAGAGGCTGGCTCCAAGAGCGAGTCACAGACATGTAGAAATAAACATGTTTACAGCCCGTTTGGTCTCTGGAGATCATTTCAACATTTGTGACGACTGTACAGGCTGAATTTATATATATAACTCACCTGTTTACATTTTATTAAGGATTAAAGTTATATATGATTAGGGGCGTGGCCTTTTTGAGTGTCTGCAAGGCATCGCCACCGTCTACAGATACAGTCAGCCAGGCTGCAGTGTAAACACTCAGGGCATGTTCACACTGTCAGTGTCCATCCACTAACAGTGTTTGTGTTTGTCACTGACAGGATCAGACTCTTATTCTGAGTGTGTGACATCATGATGAAAGGATCCCTACAGAGATAGAGCTTTGTGTTAAAGAGTCAGATCCAGAAACAGCCCTGAACTCACCGTCACCAAACCCACCAGACTGCATTTACATAAACACTCACTCTGTCATCATTAAACACACTTCACTCAGAGTCAACAGAAACACAGTCAGACTCACAGAAACCATCTTGGTTCATCTTCCCACTGTTCCAACAATCACCAGCTCTGGTTTGGTTTAAATGAACCCTTAATGCACCAGTTAGATGTGACGACATGCTGCCTCTATACACACTAACATGACTGTGGATCTAAATGCAGTCTGGTGGGTTTGGTGACGGTGATTTCAGGACTGTTTCTGGTTGAACTAAAAGGATCTGAGTCTTTATCCAAACAGTGTTACACTGTTTAACCACTGGTAAAAAGTTGTGAGCCTGCAGGGACCTGTAGTTCATGAGGCAGTAAATCTCTGCTTAATAACGTTTTATCATCTGTTAATGGTGTTGAGTCACGCTGGCGCTGCCACACTGTCTCATGGAATTTACAAAACATGTTGTTAGTCTATTACATCATAACGTTAATGGCTGCAGGGTACTTATATTATGTTGACTTTAATTAATCACATCAAAAGTAAATAGACACAGACTGTATCTATCAACCCCTCGCCCCTCCACAGCTCCACCCTATTGTCCAAATATGGTCACTCCTGGCTCCAAAAAACCAAGATGGCGACGCCCAAAATGTTTCAAAACAGGAGTCCACAAACCAGTAGGTGACGTCATGGAAGCTACGTCTGTTATTTTATACAGTCTGTGTGTTGAAGGAGCAACAGCAGGATGGAATAAGTACATTTATTTAAGTTAAGTACAAATTTAAGGTACTTTAACTAGAGTATTTCTATTGTTTGCTACTTTATACCTCTACACCACTTCACCTCTGAGGGATATGTTGTACATTCACAGCACTATTTTTATCTGACAGCAATAAAAATAGTAAAATAATAAAATGTATAATAACAGTAATATTCAGAGATACAGATACAGTAAACAGCACAATATAATATGCCCACTAATTATTCAAACAGACCATTACAGTTCAAATATCTCATTTCCCTCCAAATTCAGCTGAATTCAAATATTTTTAAAAAGTGACATTTTTGTTTTTTCTTCCGACACACTGAACTCCTCCATCAATCAGTTTACAAACCTCACCTTATCTTTACTGTATCGGTTTTTTGTCCACATGTAAAGATCAGTGAAGTTTAATGGATCCTGAGAAACGACCTTCTCACCTTGTCGAGGATGCTCAGGACGAGGGCGCACACCTCTTCATCTGCGTGGTGTCTCAGAAGCTCCGCCCTCTCCGGGTTCCCATTGGCCTCCTTTAAAATCCTCAGCTGCCACTCAAAGCGCTCCAGCTGCTTCTCCAGACAGACATCCGGCTCGCCTGATGTGCGTTTACCTGCAGGTGAAGACATGAACGTGTGTATGAATATTTTAATTTATGAATAATATAAGTGTCTGCTAAACCCTCACAGTCATGAACTAGGGCTGGGCGATACGGCCTACAATCAGTATCACAGTATTATTTTGGGGGGATGCGGTGACGGTATGATATCGCGGTATCGTCTTCTTTCTTTTTTTTTTTTTTACACCTTAATTAAAACAATTTAAAAAGCCATACAAGTCTGGGATGGAAACTATTTATTGTCAGAAGTAAAACAGTTGCTAATCCATCTATTATTGTGTATATAATGTTATATAGTATGTACAAACATTAGAGGGAATAGGGAGGGCCAGCGGCTCCGTCACGTAGCGAGGGAGGTGTGTGAGGCAGGCAGGCCTACTTTAATCTGATTTTGCATTTTGATGTTTCTCTTAAATGAAGACATATAGGTGACTTAACCTGTGTTACAAACTGAATTTGGATTTTCTCCCATGAGTCCCAAAATTTAGTGGTGTGTGAATTCAGAACCAAAACACTGAACTGCTCCTTTAATAAACTAAACTCCTGAGGACTTGGACATGAAGCCCAGAGCTTTGACTACTCTGCACTGAAAATCTTCTTTAATAAAATTATAGTTTTTACAGTTTAGTTTCTGCTCTTCAGATTTTTTTCTTTCCTTTATGCACTTTGATCTGAATCTGAAACCTTCAGACTGTTAACCTGCAGGATGAATCTTTGAATCAGTCCAGGCTGCAGAGAACAAACATGTGTGACTCTCAGAGTATCCTCACGTTTTAATGGACAAAACTTTGTGAACTTTTTCATGACCTGGACTGTATATAAACATGTTGAATCTAACATCACTCAACACGCTTCATGTTTTAACCTGTAAATAACTAAAGCTGTCAGATAAATGTAGTGCAGGAGAAGCAGAAAGTCACATGACAGGAAGTAAAGCAGAAGTACATCACTTCTGTACTAAAGTACTTGAGTTAGTTCTTTCACTTCATGTTTCTTCAGCAGCTGAAGAGTTAAACTCAAACTGGGAAACAACGTTCAGGAAGTGTTTCTGACTGTTATTTAATTTCCACCTGTCGATTACATCATCGACATGCAGACACACGCCCACACACTCACACAAACACACACACACACACACACACACACACACACACACACACTTCATTCAGGTTCAGAGACGTCTCCAGGTTGGACTTCATGTCTTCAGGCTTCAACTCATAACAAAGTTTTTAACTTTAATTAAAATAATTATCAACACTGTAAAAACCTGAATATTTCTTTATTTCGAGCCCCTTAAACAACATAAAACTCTGTGTGTCGCAGTCTGGTGGATATTTAACATGTTATTTAAAATGCACAGACCTTTATCCAACACAGAGAATAAACAGACGGACTGTATAACGTCACTGTGCTGCTGCGTCTGAGTGTTTGTGAGGAGTCAACAGGTTCCAGCCTGTCGGAAGATGAACTGATTTTTAAACAAAGAGCAGCGGAAGTTTCATCCTGCTGCTGTGTGACAGACACAAAGACGAGTTTAACAAGAGTCAGACGGTGAACATTCACGTGATACAGAAAAAAAACAACAATATGGAACCAAGCTGCGACGCCTGAGGCTGAAACATGAAGCTACAAACTGCAGTTCCTCTGACAGCCACTGGAGGCTAACTCCGTCTGTGAGTCAGTCCTAACAGACCTCCATGATATCTGGGATATGTACAAAGTTTGGTGCCTTTCTAATTCTAAGAGTACAAACAGTACATGAGAACAGCCTCAGTAATACTAAAGGCCCTGACACACCAAGCCGACGGTCGGCCGTTGACCAAAGTCGGGCCGTCGTTAAGCTTCTGCCGCCCTAGTTTTTACTGTGTGTCCCGCACCGTCAGCACATCGGCGGCTTTTCTTCTTCCCACTTTAACCTGAATAACAAACCGGAGCTATCTGGGAGCGGCTAGCAGGGCATTAGCTGCAGCATAACCGGAGGGAAACACAGCCAGTTAGCCTCCACTAGTCTCTGAGCTAGCCCCGGCTCTCTGTTAGAATCCAACCGGAGCACCGAGCCCTGGTTTGTTATTCAGGTTAAAGTGGGAAGAAGCAGCGGGTTTATCGGGCAGCTGAGTGAAGTGGAGCCTGCGGAGGAAACACCGGGACCGTCTGGATGTAATAGTCCGTGGAGGTGCTGCGGTGCTCGGCTGCACAGATAGGAAACCCCTCGGCTGACAGGATGTACCACTCTCTCACTCCGCTCTCTCTCACGCAGGCGCAGAACGTACGTGCTACTTGGCCGTCGGATGTAGTCCGTGTAGTGTGTTCAAATGCAACTGACACAGGGCGACGTGAGGCGACGTAGACGACGCAACAGTTGGCTTTCGTCGCCGCTAGTTCTTTGATGTCGGTTTGGTGTGTCTGCACCTTAACCGGTATTGACGATAATAATTTCATTAGAATATTTCTTATTCTACTTTTTTTTCCCGTTTTTCTGTGACACATCAGAGTGAACTATAAATAAACAGCGGTGTTATTATCGAGGTTCCTGCCTTTTTTTGTCCTCTGCCAATCACACGTCTGATCTGTTGGGACTATTTTCAGCGGTGGATTAATCCATGTTTGGAGCTGTAGTTGTAAATAAACCACGTGTGTGTGTTGATGGTGATGAAGGAGCACGTAGCTCACTGACGTGTTTTTAACAATGAAGGAGGAAGAATATCGATCACAGTATGTGTGAGGACTCACTCACTGTGTTTAACCGTTTTATTGCTCATATCTTTGGTGTTATTCGCCCACACTGATAGTTTGATGTCTTTTTCACATTTAAACTAAAGAATGTCAGTTTCTAATTTACATGTGATCTGTAGGAGGAGTAAAACATGCAGAAGGACTTTAAACCATCTTTTAGAGTCTGATATTTCCTCTTCAGTTTTCCTCCCTGACTTATAACCAGTTATTTTGTGCAGTAACATCTGTGACTGTGCGTCCACGGTGATTCACACAGAGCGATGACGTCAGCGTGTTCGATCCATCCTGTTTTAAATGAGCTTTAATCTGAACCAGCTGCTCATAAACTGGAGGAAACGAGGTACAGTGAGTGTGAGGTGACTTCCTGTCTGCGCTGAGTCAGATGGTCGTTCGGTCACCTCAGCTCAAACTAACGTACCTGTATCACCTGTGGTGAGTTCAATGCCCTCGTTCACAGGAGATTCTGTCACTGTTGAGCCTCCTGCAGCTCCATAAACTCATTTATCTTATTTAATCTCCTCATGTTGTTTAACGTCAGCTGCTCTGAGTCTGATTTTAATCCTGTTTGACAGACATCATGTGAAACACGTCACATATTGCAATTTTCAGAAAATTGCAGCAGCTCACAAACGTTCTGACTGTTCTGATGCAGTTTTCAATGAAAATAAAAAGTTTCATAGGATTTGAAATGATCTTGATATTCTGTCCTGTTTATTTTTATCACATTAAATCTCTGTATGTGAACGAAGAGACGAGCGGCAGAGTTTCAGGGATGTAAGAACCATGTCGAAACAATCTGGCTGTTCGTAATGTCAAAAAAAATATCAATGACTTTGTGTCACTTCTATTGATCAGCTATTTGCTTATTTTCAACTGAGACAAAGACGTTCAGAGTTTTGGGTCTACAGATGACGGATACAGAGACGTAGAGGCCTCATTGGCTGCTGTATCGTACATTAACATGAATGTCAGCGTCATGTTAGACAGATAAAAACTTCTGTCAACAACTGACAGTAAACAGAAGAGCTGCAGATTTTATGGATAAAAAGCTCTATTACATTTATATTTCTACACTATATTCAGTGAGTCATTCTTAAATAAGATGTCATTTATGATTTACATGTTGTAAAAATACAGTTTTTTCTTGAGGTAATTATAATCTGAATATTTAGTTTTACAGTTCCTCATGAATTATTTCCAGCACATCAGTGATTCAGTTCCTGTCAGTGTAACACACACTCCTCTACTGAGCGTCCAGCAGAGATTAGACACTAAATATTCACATTATAATTAACTGGAGACTAAACTTGATTTTTCTGCTACATGTTGAACATAATCAAGACTTATAAAAACAACTCATTGAAATCAGTGTTCGGAAATAAGCGTTATAGTGACTTTAATCCAGACAAACAGCAGCTCCTTTGTCGTGTGTGTACAGCAGGTGTTTCTCTTTCCACAGCGGCGCCGTAGTGTTGACGTAGTGTTGCCACAGGTTGACACAGTCAGAGCGGCGTGTTCATATAAATGTCTCTGACTGCAGATGATTCTCATGACATTTAGGTCAGAAAACAGGAAGTGAGAGAACATACAGAGGGTGCAATCAGTCAGAGGAGGAAACACACACACACACACACACACACACACACACACATACTGAACACACTCACCTCCGTCATCTCGGCGGCCGCTCTCTTTCTGGTTCTTCTCGCCCTTCTTGCCTTTGCTTTTCTTCTGATAACGACAGGAAGAGAAGAAGAAGAAGGTTTCAGTGACAGCGTCAACAAACGGATCTGATATGAGGAGAGTCTGGAAGGTTTCACCTCAGACCTGCTTCAGTCCTCCAGAATCAACACAGACACAGAGCTCCAAGTTTAAGGACAAATATGGTGAACGTTTATGAAGTGGTGAATGTTTGGTTACATTAAATCACCTTGTTCAAAGTTAGGTTTCATCTGTTCTACATGTTTGTTTTAAACATATAACAACTACTATGTTTACACCTGACATCAACACGACTGCGGCGATTAGGAACCTTGAAAATAAAGACCCTCAAACCTCTGCAGACCAAATCTGGAGTTTCTACTCCTCTGCACACTCAAGGCACTTTCACACCACGGCACATTCACCCATTCACACTCTGGTGGCGGAGGCTACCATACAAATTGCCACCAGTAACCATTCACACACTCTCACACACAGGTTCAGTATTTTGCCCAAAGATGCATCAGCACGTGGAGCGGAGGAGCCGGGGATCGAACCTCTGATCCTCTGATTAGTTGACGACCTGCTCTGTCTCTGAGCCGCAGTCGCCCAAAAACAAATTATACAAAAATTCAGATAAACAACAGCAGCTCATATAGATTAAATAGAAGTGCGAAAAATACATATGGCGGACATAAATTAATTGAATTAAATTTTATTTTTCTCCATGGTTATGAAAAGTTACAACAGTTTCTCTTTCTGCTGCAGAGAGACGTTTGTCCCAGAGCTGTGTTTATGTTGTCCGCCTTGATGAAGGAGCTTCATTCAGCTGTGACGGAGAATACAAACAGAGTTACACTCCACGACGGAGTCACTGAGATTTGGAAAGGCTCCTTGAGTTCATCATTTTGCCTGTTGATATCTTTGGAGTCAGAAGTGACCATGTTTGGGTGACAGAGAAGTGGAGGACGATACCAGCAGACTGATTTGTTCCTGACTTCCTGTTTGACTCCTGTCAGCAGCAGTGATGTGAGGGTTATAAGAAGGTGTAATAATATTAGTTTCCTGAGCTCACAGTTTCAGACTGAAGTGTGTGAGGAACATGAAGCAGGAGGTTTGGTGGTTCAGAGTTTGGCCCCTCTGAGGCCTCCCAGCAGCAGCAGCTCTGGGTCGGAGTCGTCTAACTGGGTCAGTGAGGTGGTTATGAAAGCAGCTGATGGAGGTCTGACTCTGACCCTCATTAGTCTCCACATGACGCTGCAGCTTTGCTTTTTCCTCTGTTACATAACTGCTGCTCCAACACAACAGGGCCACTGTTTGTTTGTTTACTCTGCTGATTAAGAAACCTTCCTCCTCCTCCTCCTCCTCCTCCTCCTTACACCTGCACATTCATCAGCCTGTTTACAGTGTGTAACACAACACAACAGCAGGTGTGTCGTCCTGCGCTGTCATCAGAGGCTTTATGGAAGATAAAGATCGCACAGTTTAACTACTGAAGCAGATGAGCATGCACGTCAGATGGTGCACGTCAGATGGTGTCAGTCTGAGAAAGTTCCAGTAGCGACAACAACTGTTCACACTGCAGACGCCCGACACAGGAAGACGGACTGATCGAACAGAGTCTGATAATAAACTAAATAAAACACGCATCAGTATCAGTGGAGAGAAAATGATGCTAACAGTTAGCCTTCTGCTAACAGGAGCTAAAGGCTAACAGCTGCAGCTTCATCTTTATGTAGCTAACGTTAGCTAGAGCCTCCAATCACAGTGTGTCCTCCCAACATGGCCTCACTCTGAAGAAACCAGCGCTCGGGTTTAAAGACGTTTATTGTTGACGGACATCAGACATCAGAGAGAGTGTGTGTGTGTGTGTGTGTGTGTGTGTGTGTGTGTGTGTGTGTGTGTGCGTGCGTGCGTGCGTGCGTGCGTGCGTGCGTGCGTGCGTGCGTGCGTGCTGTACGTGAACATCAGCAGAAACTTTCAGGTTTCACTGCAGTGAAACTCTGCTACTGGTTAAACTGTGTTATTCACTGGTGAGGGGGTGATGGATTACACACACACACAAGCTTGGGCATGTATCCAAACATCCACACACACACATGGACATTGCACAAGAACACTGGGACTAAAAACACACACACACACACAAAGGAACTACACACTGAAATGCTTACTGTATTGCCTCACACCCACACATTACTCAAGCAGAGTGAGAACAAACACTCACACCCTAAACATACACACACTCTAACACACTCTAACACACACACACACACACACACACAGTATAAACTGGACACCGACTTTATTTAAACTCTGAGCAGGAGCAATAAATATCTCTGGTTTCAACATGTGGCTGGGTTAATCTAAACATCTGTGGAGGAGGAAGAGGAGGCTGGTGAGGAAGAGGAGAAGCATGTGTTCCTGCAGGCGCTGCAGAGGCCCTCCGTCACATTTTACAGAGGAGGTCATAAATCAGAGCTGAGGCTCCTCCGCTGTGTTTGCACAGCACTTCACTGTCAGGACGAACCTGAACTCCTCGTCTGGTTCCTCAGAGACGACGCTCAGTCTTAACAACATGAATCATCTCTGATTTCAAACCACAGCTCAGTGATGTCACAACGACACTGGCGAGGTGAAACAGGAAGAAACCAAACGCCAAAGTTTACAACATGCAGAGGTTAGAAAGGTCACAAAGTTTAAGATAAAAACTGGATCTAATTCTGTGACGAGGAGTCAGTGCAGATGGATCATAATTATTTTAGTCATCACAAAATCAAGTCAAGAAAACGTCCAAACAGACGTCATCACATTTTTTTTCCCTCCAACATTTTGGACAATTTAATAATATATTCTGACATTTTATCAACTTTTTTTTTTATTATTATTATTTTCCGACATTTCGTTAACAGTTTTTCAAACGTTTTATGTTTTATTTTTTGGACATCTTAATAATAATAATAATAATAATACTATTGCTTCTCTGACACTTCAATAACTTTAATTTCATAATATTTTTGGGCATTCCACCAACATTTCTTCAGACATTTTATTAATATTTTAGGACATTTAATTAACATTATTTGGGCATTTTAACAACTTTTTGTTCTCAGATATTTTAATAGTATTTTTCGGACATTCTGATAACATTTTTAAAATGTTTTTTAATTTTTTTCTGACATTTTATTAATTTTATTATTATTGCTAATGATAATAATAATAGTAATAATAATAATAGTATTAATTTTGTTAATGTGCCCCTCTATGTTGTGCTCTGCAGTTGGAGCAGTAATAACCCTGCAGCATCACTCGTACGTCGTAGCCTGTGATTCAGTCGGCGCCGTCATCGTACAGTCTGCAGACATGTAACCTGATGTCAGACTCAAGTCCCCAGGATCAGTGTCAAAAGAACTGATTTAATATCGTATCATGATGAAAATGATTTACATCCCTATTAACCAATAAACTTATTGATTCATCAACTAATGGATTCAGTTCTGCCTCTATGGACACATTCATTAATATTGTTGGTATGAATTATTAGTTTCTTTGTTAACGTTGTACGAAGCAGCTTCTGATCAACAAACTGAATAAAGTCTTGTCAATGTGAGAACTCGACACCAGAACAGGATGTGATGTCATGCTGCTGTAGTACACAGGATGCTGACACATCACCAGAATGAGACGTCTCCTTAATCAAACACAGCCTATCAGTGTTTCAACGGGCTGACTGGACACATTCACACAGTTAAAGCCGACCTCTGACCTCTGACTCTGCAGGGTACCAAAACAGGAAACACATCGCTCTGATTTAACAGAGTTCAATCAATGAGACTGAGCCATGAGAACATCTTCAATTTAAACAGAAACAGAGATCATCTTAACCTGAACTGAAACGGTACAACAAAACATTATTGTCAAAGGATCATAGGTGAGGTGAGGTGAGGTGAGGTGAGGTGAGGTGAGGTGAGGTGAGGTGAGGTGAGATGAGGCGAGGCGAGGCGAGGCGAGGCGAGGCGAGGCGAGGTGAGGTGAGAGTGGATTGTTTTGTGCTTTGGAGCTACAGTTCCCATGATACTCTGACGGACGTACAAAGGAAGCACAGCAACGAGTACTAGCCAATCAGAGGGAGAGTAGGGTGGGTCACACCTTTGCTGTCCTAGGAAATACAAATTCCCTTAACCATGGGGTGCATCCCAAGTCTCTGATCTTATCGCTCAAGCTGACCGTAACTCCTAAATATCACCAGAGAGACAAGAAATCCTCCGTCACCGTCTCATCAGTCAACTCTCCACGCTCTCGTCACGAGATCAGTGAAATCTAAAGGTAAAAGGTAAAGGTAAAGTTCCACTGATTGTCACACACCTGAATGTGTGAAATTTGTTCTCCGCATTTGACCCATCCCCTGAGGGAGCGGTGAGCAGCAGCGGTGCCGCGCTCGGTAATCATGTGGTGATCTAACCCCCCAATTCCAACCCCTGATGCTGAGTGCCAAGCAGGGAGGCAATGGGTCCCATTTTTATAGTCTTTGGTATGACCCGGCCGGGGATCGAACCCGAATCTAAATCTTGTTACTCTGCTGATGAACAGAGCAGATCACCGTCAGGTTATCACTGTGGCATCTGTTATACTAAGGGACGTTTGTGCCAAATTTAGAAATTCGTTCACGGCCTTCTTGAAACATCACATTCACAAGAATGAGACACACAGTGACCTTTGACCACTAAAATCCAATCAGTTCACTGTGAGAGGGGAAAGATGCACACTGGTGGGTGCTGTGTAACGCAGCTTCACCCTCTATGGAGATTTTTGGTATTGTCTAAATCTATGTCCTGCTTGAAAATATATATTTCACATAGTCCTTATATGACCCAGCCCTAATTCATTGTTGCGTCCAAATGGATGTTTGTGCCAAATTTGATGAAATTCCCTTCAGGTGTTCTTGAGATATTGTTCTCATATATTGACGGGACAGACAACCTGAAAACATCAAGCTTTCAGCCACAGCTGTCAGCAGCACACAGCCATAG